TTTTTACCGTGGCAAAATAAAGAAGCTTCCTTCCTTTCCTTCCTTCCTTCTTTAAAAAAGTCTATTATTTTCCAATTATTAAATCAAGGCAAATTTTTATTCCATGTTAGATTTATCATTCATCCAGAAAGCATGGCACAGATGACATCCATACGTCTGGAGGATACTTTCACATGGCAAATGTTTTTAACCGACAAAATAAACTAGACATTGCCTTCTCGCTTTATAACCAGGTAGGCATCCTTGTAAATAATAAATAGTTTTTCTACAATTCTCAGTGTTGAGTATCAAGGAAGCAAAACCCTTGAATCATGGTAGAGACCTAACAAACTCTACTCACATGTTATGCCAAGTTCAGGAATCTAACCTGAGACCCCAGAGGTGAGAGGTGAGTGTACTACCACTACACCACCCTTGGTTCACTAATGTATGTGATGTTGAGTCCAGGAATCTAACCTGAGACCCCAGAGGTTAGAGTTGAGTGCACTACTGCAACATCACCCTGGATCCCATAAGGTGTTTGCAGCCCCCTTAACACTACAGTATACATTAATGACCCATGTTATATCCTATCAGGTGACAGATATCTGGTACGAACATCTTAGCAGACTAGTTGGACAGAGGACTAAAACACCAGCACAGCCGTCTGGGATAGGCCCTGCATTTAAATCTGGAATGCCCACAGACTTCGAAGTCTTAGGTAGATAACAAAAGTGAATACTTTTGGCATCAGCTTAATAGGTGGTTTAGGAAGGGGGTGGGGGGGCCAGACTAACACTGAAAGCAAAGGAATCAAAATTAAGTCAAACTTGAACCAATCAGAAGCAAGCATGGAAATGAGAGACTATGATTGGTTGAGGTCAACATCATATTGGTTTTTCTCTCTCCTGATTGTTTAAAGTTTTTTCATCTTAATTTTTGTTCAAGTGGCCCAAGTTAGTGTGTCCGCGCAGCAATAGAGGATATACTATTAATATTAATTATTTTTATTGATTGAAATCAATTGTTATTCCCAGATGAAGCTCAAGAGGCAGAAGCTATTCAGGTTATCCAAGCAATGCTAGACATTCGTGAACAACAGAGCGTACAAAGCCCTTCCGTCATGTACAAGATCTACTTTACTGTTGCTATGCTACACTTCGTCCTTGGAGACATGACAAAGGTATTTACATAGATAATACTATTTTTCTTAACGAGCGCAACGTTTTTTATTCGTTTTGGGTGCAATAATTCATTAAGATTTCTATATGCTTCCATCCTTAGAATTATTCGCTCGCTTCCTCGCGTGCTCTTCTTCCCTTTGTTCCCTTGCGCGCGCTTTTCCATTCGCTCATTCAGTTCTTTTATTTTATCTTTCTTCTTTCATCAGTGCGCCATTTTGTGCGTTATTTTATTAATGTGCTCTTTTTGTTGTTGCTGTTGTTGTTGTCGTTGTTGTTCTCTCGTGAGCCTCGCGCGTTTATTTGTTCATTCAATCGCTATTCAACAGCCACACACACCTCATGTCATTTTCTTACTACATGTAATAATATTCTCTGTAACTTCATTATATACTTTATATCTTTATCCTACAATTCTGTAAATAATTTATACTTTTTGTTTATTTGTGTGTGAATAAATTTGAACTTGAACTATTTGACTCATTCCTTTATTCATTCCTTTTTATTTTCCATTGCTTTTCAGGCGAGAGATTTCGGCATCAAAGCACGCACGTCATGCGAAAACATCGTATCTGGAGACGAATCTCTGATGAAACAAATTGTCGAGTTCCTAACCTCGGTGGAAAAATCCCAGTGATCTTATTTACCCTTTAAAAAGAGCTTGAAAAACTGCCATGTACTTGGCCTGCAATATTAAGGGTACTCCTGAGTTTACGATATCATTGTCTCGTATAGCCTTTTTACCTGGCACTTTACGATATGCAACACCAATTTATCATATGTAAATATAAGGTAGATATATTCACCTATTAGTTTGTAAAAAAAATATTATTTGCAATGAATTTCACGAACGCTGACTTCAGTTTCAAAAGTAAGATGTACCATGATCCAGACAGGAAGTCGTGAAGCACTTCTTCAGGCTATTTTACAGATGTAAAAATTTGGTAAAAAAATTATTTTCCATAAATTGCCTGCACGAACACTGACTTAAAATAGAACATTTACATCATCCTGGAGCGTGTACGTGAGGTAGCTGTTAAAAATATGATCATACTTGATCGAGACGGGAAGTTGTGCGGTACTCCTTGGGGCCATATCACAGATGACAGGCAATATGGTGGGTTAACAGGTGCAAAAAAAAAAAGAATGACTCCACGCGCTTTATCTTAAGATCCTAGAGCCGGCGGGTATCGTACACGGTACGACATACCGTTACATTGAATTGGCTTCTCATAAGAATGGTTATCGTATGAGTGGGAAACATACGGTATTGACTTACATCAGGTAAACGGTACGACATACCGTAACGTTGAAATAGACATTTCCGATTTAGCGGCATATGAGCGGAATAGGCATATACTAGCGGAATAAGCATAAACCAGCGGAATAAGGCTAGAATCATCGTTATGACCAGAAAATTCAATAAAATAATGAAACAGCTTTCAGTAGACCTGTTTTATTTAACTTAAGGTATTTCACAATTAATATCGTTAACACTACCTGTTTTATTAGCTTAACTGACGAGCAGTGTGCTCGAGAATAAGATCTCGTCCCGTTGAAACGCATTTATATAAAAAAGTTGCGTTTACAATATACTAATGTAAATGCTCGCCCTTAAATTTATAAAAGGACTAAGAATGCTAGCATATAATGTAGAATACTACGACGGTTATTATTTTCGAGAAGTTTTCCTTCTACATGGACACGTACGTATCGCTAACATATAGTTGAAATGTGGATGCCTACTGAGATTGTTCACTGCCTGTAAACACTTACTTCCCAACTCTGTACCCTCTCCTCTGCGGGGAAAAACAGGATTTTATTAAAGTTCTCTGTTAGTTCTTCTACAGTGGAAAAGGCTGTGCACATATCCAATGCGTTGAAATTCAGAACAAAACAAGATATTTGAGAGATTCAGTAAACATCTCATGTTTTCGACAAACATTTGTGCTACGCAAACGAAAAAAAAGTAAAAAGTTGAAAAGCTTTTCAAGAAGCAATAGATAAATAATGAAATAACCTTTGTCTTTGCTGAGAAGGTTTCTAAAAGGTACTAGTTAAATTACAGGGAAAGAACAAAAACGTGCTTATGCCGGCCAGAAAAAACATGATGCTTAATGTCTATTTTATTAATAACGTGAACAGAAATCATAAGGCCTATAAGGTGCTAGTCTTCATCTGACGAAGAATCTGTCACGTCAGACCATGGACTGCCCTCCAGCTTTTTAATGCTTTCTGGTGCTCTCGTGCAGCACTTTGGGCCGCATCAAGAACGGCGGGGATTGCTTCGAGTAAGCTGTCCAGTTTTTTCTCTCTGGTGACCTGGGAGTTCCTAGATGACTTCAGCTTTTTACTTGACTTTGAGCTTTCATTGAGAGGTCTTTTCCTGAAAGGATAATAGCAAAATAAACGAGGTTTCATTATCAAATAGGTATGAGAAACGTTCAAAGTAATTATGTCTGCTTATAAATTACCTGTCTTCCATCCTCTCGCTTTCTCTTGTTTTCTTGATTC